AAAGTTGGACCGACTCCAGATCTAGGATTAAACCGGGCCTGTTCCCCGACAGGGGGATTTGCGACGACAGATAAAACAAAACCCAAAAATAGTCAAACAATAACCCAAACATAGTCTGGGGATTGTTGTTTGAGTATTCTTTCTTTGGGGGATATTTTTGTGGTATTTCTTATTTTTCGTTGAAAATCCCCCTGTAGGGGGACACGCCCGACATAAATCTTAAAGCACGCGCTCCGTCGGCCGAGAGACTCCGCGGGAGTCTCTCTGCCGACGTCGCCGATGCATCGTCAGCGTCGCCGATGCATCGCCGCGCCGCCGATGCCGGCGTTGCTCCCATGGCTCCCGCGGGGCCGCTGCAGAGAATGCCTTTGGCGCGATGCCCTCCCGCTCGGCTCGCGGCGGCGCGTTCTGGAACGCCCGCCGGGCCACACCCTTGGCCCTTGGTAGGGGGCCACATGCGAACCCCACCCCTGCCCCCCACGACTTCTGAGGGGGAGGGTTGGGGTTCACTTCGCTCGGGAGCTCCCGAGCTCCCGAGCGAAGTGAACCCCGCCCTCCCCCTCAGAAGTCGTGGGGGGGTAGGGGTAGGGTTCGCATGTGGCCCCCTACTTGGGTTCTTTTTTGGGAACCCTTGTCGGGTATGGCCAGGGCCCCAGGTAAGGGGACCTGGTTAGTGGTAGGGCCCCGGAGCCCCTAAACTGGCCAGAGTCACTGAACCAGGTCTGCCGTAACCTTTGTTTTTTTCGGGTGACGGCAGTTCCGGTTAGTGGAACGGGGCGGGGAGGGGGTCCCTCTGTACACATCATTGAGCCAGATCCCACTAAACCCAGTTGTGCCAACGCCCGACCTTGGATAAGTTCGACCCTCTGACTCCTCGCGACCCCTCACGTCCGTACCCTCAAGGAGGGGGCCGAAGTGGAAGACGAGGTTGGCCTGAAAGAGCCAGCACGGCAAACCACTTCCGCCGAGAGGGCGATGGGATTTGGCGAAGGTTTTCAATTCCTCTCCAGCGTCGCAGAAAAGGGATAACCTGTATCGCTTAACCTGGTTTTCCCGGTATTCCGCTATCCCCACAGGGCCCTGGTATTATTCCAGCCCCATGTCTATCCCGTTAGCCCGTTAGCCTCACAAGGGCAGTTGGGTATATCCCTATTCAGGTGGGTGAAACGGCCAGTTGGGCCAAAGCCATCTGGGCGGCTCGAGGAGTGCAGGGAATCGAAGCACACGAGACGGCATAGACGCAGTTTCTTTGAGATCCGCGCAGATTGCTTGGATCGGCGCCTGGACCTCCCAGCTGCGCCACCGTCGCCTCAGCGCAATCCGCGCGCCGGCGAGGGGGGTCCACCGCCGATGCAAGACGTCCGAGCGGAGCTCCAAGAGAAGGTGTGGATGTCGCCGTTTGCTCCCCGAGGGAAGTGGCCCCAGAGGGGCACCGAGCGGCTCCTCAGCTGGAGCCGCGGGCCCGACATGTGCTGGAAGTCGGCACCTGCCGTCCCCCCCGTTGACGTCCCCTCCGTGAGCGGACGCCCGACTCGTGGCCCGAGGTGTTCGTCGCTCTCCGTGCTTCTCGTTCCTCTGCCCCCTCCCGCTCCCTTTGTCTGCAGCCCCGCTTCTTACCGGCCTGGGACATATCCCTATCCCTATGCTGGGCACCTCCTCATCACGATGCCAATATGAGGGATTCCCTTATTTTTTGAGGGCGGATCCCTAAGATCGTCATCGCCTTTTGGCGTGTCAATCTTAGGGATAGGGATACGTTCGAGGCTGGTAAGCTTCGGCGTAATTTCAGGCACGAGGAGCGATGAGCGGTCCAACGGGCCCCAGGCTGCAGTGCGACGGCATGCGGGCAGAGAGCGTGCGCCGCCTGGGACCACACGGTTCAAGCGGACGTGCTTGGCCGCAACCTTCCGAGAACTACCTCGGCATCGCGCATGGTGGAGCGATACTTCTCGTGCATCGCGTAGCCCGCCCCCGTCCCGCCGTGCGCGGCCTGGAGATTCTGGGGGTAGGAAAGGGGTATGGTGTAAAGGGGTGTGGTGCCACTGCTGAATCTGGCAAGCTCAACTAATCGTAGATCACATCGCCATTTCCGCGATTGGCACCACACTCCTTTTATGTCACACCCAATCCCAACCTCCAGAGTGATGCTGGACGAGGGGCGCCACTGGAACCTGAATGGAGCCGTCGTGCTCACTGCCAGCAAGTCGGCGCGCCCGCTGCCGCAGCCGGAGATGGGGGCTGCGTGGCGGCGGCGCTCGTCGGTCGGCACCGTCCCCGGACTCCCAGCCATCCGGCGTCGCTCCCATCTGTCCGATGCGTGGAGCCCCAGAGGCTTCCTTCAAAGTGGCTCCAGTCATGGAGCAACCAAATTCATCCTCAGCCTCTGTCTGCTGCTCATCGGGCTTGTCATGGCATGCACCCGGGCGAAAGAGAAGAGGAAGGAGCCCCAGAGGCCGCGGGGGTTGCCAAGGGTGCCTTAGGCCCAGGGTGCCCCGAGCTTTTCGCTCTATTTGGGAGCTCCTGGGGCCCTCTGGACCTTGTGAGGGGTGATCTGGAGTCCGTGGGGGCGTCCGTGGAAATCCTGGGGGGCACCTTGGGCCAGGGGCAGTTCTTCTAGCAACGCCCGAAGGTGTGGACAACTTCCCCAGGGCCAGCTCTTCATCCTGAGTCGCTTTGTGACAGTTCTGGGGCCGATGAGGCCCCCCCCCCACCGGAGGCTAAAAACGGAATACAAATATCGGCTCGTGCCATTTCTGTCGGAGGTTCGTGTCTCTGGGTCCAGTGCGTCCCGTCGAGTTGAACGGGCGGTCGATCCAACTGCTTTCTCGACATTGCCGAACGCCGCTTCAGCTCCGGTTCCGCTGCGACTCCAGTAAACTTTGTAGGCCGGCCCTTCTTGCTGCCCATCCCGGAGCCGTGGTACCGCCCAAGTTCGACCCACGGAGTCGCTTCTCGACGCTAGGGTTGAATCCGTCGCCGAACGTCGCTCCAGGTTCCGTACCGCCGCCACTTGGGGGCATCAGGCTGGCCATTCACGGAACGACTCCGCGGCCGAACTTCGCTTCAGGCCCGCCGTGCGCTTGCGATGGCGCCCACTCGGACCAGGGCGGAAAAGCCAAAGGTGCTATCGGGCGCGACGTGCCAGGCACCGTGTCTGAGAGCGCGGCAACAGACGAAGCGTTGGATTCGATGTTGTGTGGAGCGACCAGCAGGTGAGGTCTCCGTGCTCCGAGCTGAGGTCCGAGCGGATGGGTATGGAGGATCGCGCCGCATAGCCAATGCATTGGCAACGTGGCGCGATGTCGGGTCGGATTCTCTCTACCCCGACGTCGCCGATGCATCGCCGACGTCGCCAGTGCTGCGGTGATGCGTTGGAGATGCGGCGCGATCGCGCGACTGCAGTAACTCGGACCCCACTGGGAGGCCTCAAGAGGTTACCCAGGACCTTGATTGCGAGAATATGGCCTCACGACCCCGCGCACCCACAACGCCCCTGCCTGGAGCCTGGTGCGTCAAGTTCTGTCCCTGGACTGAAGCAGGGCCTGATCGGCTTGTGGCTCGATGCCGGCGGTGGTGGCCATAGCTGCACGCACCACGATGTTTTTTGTCCGTGCCAACTGTGCCCTTGAGGGGCTTTGGCCACAGGGCAGCGCTCGTGCACGTAGCGCGCTCCGCACACGGCTTTGAGGCTCCCTTTCCTCCAGGGGGGGAGCTTTGCCCCGATACCCGCCCTGGACCTCTCTGCATGAGGGCGAGGGGCCCTGAGGGGCATAGAGTCCCAGACCCCGGGGCCTTCCCCAAAGGACCAGCTCCACCCCGAGCCCAGATTTGACGGTGCCATGGCCCATGGGAGGGTCCCGAAAGCGGAGCCTCGAAGAAGAGCAAATGTGCACAGACATGAAGTTTCGGAGGTCCGCGTGGATCTCTTGGACCGGCGTTGGGCCCCCCTCCCTCGCGCGCGGGGCGCGCCAGGGGCGTCGCCGGGGGTCCAGCGCCGATCCGAAAAGTCCGCGGGGGCACCCGGAAGCTTTGCTCATGCAGTTTTTTGTTCCTCTAGGTAGCGGAAAAGAAGAAGTTTGCCCCCCCTCTCCCCCAGGATTGCGAGGGCGGACATGTATCCATAGGCGTCCGGCGCTCCAATGTTTTCGATGCTTGGACAGTCAGAGGTCTGGGCAATTTCCCATACAGGGCATTTCTGTCGTCCCGAGTGGTTCTTTGTCAGTCCCGCGGTCCGTGGAGGGCCCCCAGATGCCGAAAACGATCCAAAATTGGTCCGTCCAATAGTTTCGGGGCCTCGGATTTCTGGGAAGATCGGTCTCCCCGGCGATGGTCTTGGAGAGATCCCCGCCTCGAAAGGACCCGCTGCCTAGGCGCAGGACCAACTCGGGCCACTTCCCCAGGCGTGCAACGTCTTTCGGGCCGGGCGAAAGGGGGGGATTGGGAAAGGGGGGGTTACGAAATTTGCTGCATGCAGCTGGTTTCGGCCTCATCGAGGGGCCCATTCCTCGATACAACATAGTCGCCTTCGGCGCCAGGAGGCGCCGGGAAAATCAGCTACGTGAGCTGATTCTCAAACCCCCTCTTTGCTATCCCCCCCTTTTGCCCGACCCGAGTCTTCATTTGTTCCACATGCGCGGGCCCTGGAAGTCCTGACTCTTGTCCCAGGGTCGGTATTCCATCCCGAGTCGTTTCTTGACGGCACCGGGGCCCGCCGAGGGCCCCGAGCCGCCAGGAACGGCCCAAAAACTTCCCGCCGCGATCTTTTCACGACGCGAGAGTGTCTGGGCGCCTGTTTATTTGCATGCACGGGGGGGGGGCCTGAGCCTGAAGCAAGCCGAGCGCAATTCGACGTGTGGCAAGGCACACTTGCACGCTCGTGTTCGATTGAAGAGCGGCGAGGGGGGGGGCGAACGCCGTGCAGGTAGACTTGCCTCGATCTAGAGGACAACAGGCTCTGGGCTGCCCACGTGCAGGACCTCCTCGGGCCTCCTCCCGACCTCAGGCGGCACCCCGCGCCCCTCGGGCGACCCCCCGGGCGCTCTCGGGGCCGTCATGGCGTGGGCGGACCCGGGCGCCGTGCACGAAGAGGTGCAGGTCCTCGAGGCAGCGACGCTCTCTCCTCTCCCCCTCCCCCTCCCTCCCTCCCCTCCCCCCTCCCCCCTGCTCCTGGCTGCGTCTTCGGTGATTCGCATCGCCTGGCTCTTTGCCTCGTGTGTTGGCCTCCCTCTCTGGTGGCCTTCGTGCTGCGCCTGCTCGCCTCGCTCCCCGGCCGTCTTCGCCGGGCCCCTGTCCTGCCTCGGCGCACCTGACATGCCATGGTGGTGCCTCTCTTCCTCCTCCTCCTCCTCCTCCTCCTCACCCTGGTCCTCCTCCTCCTCCTCTTCCTCCTGCTCTCTTCCTCCTCCCTCCCTCGGGCCAGACGAAAGGGGGGGATTGGGAAAGGGGGGTTACGAAATTTGCTGCATGCAGCTGGTTTCGGCCCCACCGAGGGGCCCATTCCTCGATACATGGGCGCCTCTGGCGCCGGGAAAATCAGCTACGTGAGCTGATTCTCAAGCCCGCCCTTTGCTATCCCCCCCTGTCGCCCGACCCGACTCCCCCTCCACAATTACAGAATTTGAATATTACTCTCCCCTCTCCCCTGGTGACGTCTGGAAGATGTCCGGCCCCCCTCCGCGCACTGTTCTGGCCCCCCTCCTCGTATACTGTGCTTGTCTCACACAGGACTCTCGGGAATTAGGTTTTCGCTTGGGCTTGTTTTCAAAATGTTGTTCCCGCTGAAGCGCTGGCACCATGTCTGCGCCTCTGGTTGTTCCAAATCGTGCTTCCGCTGCAGCGCGGGCGTTTTCGGTCCTTCCACATAGGCCCCAAAATTTAGAAAGTGCCCCCCCGAAATAACCATCGGAAGTGGTCACACATCCGGTGCCGACTCGTTGTTTTTGGGGGGCCGCAGAAGCCCCCCTCATTTTGAGGCGTCGCCGTGTGCAGGAAGTGTCAAGCGGGAGCCACGTTTCTGTTTTGAGAAGGCGATGTTGAAAGCAGAACCAGCGTTATGATGTTCCAACCTACTTTAGCATTGATCACCATAATGAATTTCGAGCACCAATAAACACCCCCAAAACTGTAGGGTTTTCACGTGTCTGGCCCCGGGAGACACTCTTTCGACACTGTTTCCACAGTCGTTCGACACTCTTTCGACACTTCCGGGTGCTCGAAATTATTTATGGGATGCGGTCCTTAAGTAGGGTGGGAACAACATAAAGCCAGCGGGTGCTCTCCATCCGCCCCGCCCTGTGTGGAGCTGTGTCCTCCGGCGCGTGGCGGTCGCTCTCCCAGGAGGTGGTGGTGTGGGAGGGCGAACGCACGGAGTATGTATCGGGGGTGGATGGACCTCCTACCCTGACACGTCGATTCGCGAATTGGCCGTTTTCGGTTCGCGAGAGGGCGTCGCGGCCGTCATTTTTGCGGGTCCAGGTCCGTCGGTTTCGGTCCTAGGCCGTTTTGACTAACGGGAGGTTTGCTACAGGGAGGTTTGTCCACCGCCGAATGTAGAGGAGGGTCGGGGCGAACGTAGGGAGGAGGCCACATGCGAGCCCTACCCCTACCCCCCACGATTTCTGAGGGGAGAGGGTGGGGTTCACTTCTCCCGAGCGAAGGGAACCCCACCCTCCCCCTCAGACGTCTTGAGGGGTAGGGGTAGGGTTCGCATGTGGCCCCCTAGTAAGGAGGAGGTTGAGGCGGGCGAGGGGGGACACAGACAGTGCTGTGAGGATTGCAGAAGAGGCGGAGGGGGAATCGGCCCCAGGTGACGATATCTTCTGAGAAGACCAGCGTGGGTGGGTGCATAGTCACGGGAACGATCGTGCGTTTCGGAGGGGGGCCATCCAGTGCTCGCAGGCGCTTGCCGGTGCTCGCATGCTTTGCGCAGATGCCGCCCCCCCGGCCCCCCCCTGGGTTTCGACCGCTTCGCGGAACTAGACCCGAAAAATCCCGAGATTCGAGGCTACGTTGGAAAAATGGAGGTGGCCAATTTGTTTCCGTTTTCAGCCTCCACGGTGTCTCAACGGGCCCCATGGCCGCCAGAAAACGGCCCAGGATGAAAAGCGGCCCTAGGGATGTTGTCTTGGTTTCCAGGGAGGTCCACGCATAGAAACAACTTAGAGCGGGAGGGGAAGATCGAAATTGGTACAGAAACATCGAATCGTGACGAACCCTGAGATCCGGGCGTGGCAATGTTTTTACATCTTGTGTTTTCGCTAGTTTTTTCCGCCTTTGGGACCATTAGAGATCGCTCCAGCTCGAAAATTGCCACAAGAGTGCTCCGCCTGCGATTTTTCACGCATCGGGTATGGAAATACGGCTACTAACAAAGGACTGCATAAAAACATGTTCTCGGAGGTCCGCGCGGACTTCTTGGACCCGCGCTGGGCTTCCCTGGCGGCGCCGCTGGCGCCGCCCCTGGCGCGTAGAGCGCTCCAGGGAGGGGGCCCAGCGCCGATCCAAGAAAGCCGCGCGGACCTCCCAGAAATCCCTCACGCTTCGCGTATCGCCACCAGGACCCGGACGCCGCTTCCGCTCCCTGTCCGTTGCTTCGGAGCCGCCGACCAAAAAAAAAAACGTATCGCCACCAGCCTGCTTGTCGCTGCATAATTTGTAGGGACCGCGCCCCGGACTTACTTTCGGACGCCGCCTGCGCTTTCGCTTGCGGCCGCGACCCAAAAAAAAATGTATCGCCACCAGCCACCCTGGTTGGTTAATCCTACATGTGCGCGCTCCTGGACCTGGTCCCTGGCAGCTGCAGCTTGCACCCCCCCCTCACGCCGGCCCGCCCGCCCAGGCGCTGCTGAGGTCGCCGGCCCGTCGGCGTTAGGCAATTCGGCTCTTGCGCGGCCCGCTCGGACCTGACTCGCCGCTGGCGCCCTCGCCTGCGGCTGCGACAAATAAAATATCGCCACCAGCCCATTAAAAAAACCCTGCCCATGAGAATTGATTGGGACATGGACAAAGAGACACATGATTAGTTAAACAAGCGGGCGACCAGGGTGAGCAGAGAGATGTCTGGAGCAAGCGGATGGCATTGGAGGGCCTTTTCGGGCCATCCCTGAGGCCCGCGTGCGGGAGAGGGAAGGAGGAGGAGGAGGAGGAGGAGGAGGAGGAGGAGGAGGAGGCGGAGGCGGAGGCGGAGGAACGACGACGACGACCACAATGACGAGGACGACGACGACCACGATGACATCGACGACGAGGACGAGGAGGAAAAGGAAAATGAAGGCGATGAGGGCAAGGACAAAGACGAGGACGAGGAGGACAACGAGGAGGACGAGGACAGAGCTCTCAAAATCGCCTCTCTGAACCCTTTTGGATTTCTTTTTGGGGAGGTTGGCGTCCTCGTGAGTCTCTTTTGGGGGGTCTTTGGGCCCTCCTGGGGCCCTCTTGCCCTTTCGGAGCTCTCTTGGGGGCCTGTTGAGAGCTTGGAGGGCCTCTTGGGCTATCGTGGAGGGCGTCGGCGAAAAGAGACGGGGCCGTAACTTGTGCCGCCACTGGGGCTATCGATATCGCCTCTTTGGGCTCTCTTGGGGCGCTATTTGGCCGCTCTTGGGCCATCTTGGGGCCTCAGCACAACAAAAGGGAAACGGCGAGAATTACAGAATCATTGATGTTCCGCTGGTTTTTGCAGGATGTTGGTCTCTTGGGGGGTCCTCAGAGGGCTCTGAGAGCACTTGGGCCCCCGTCGGGCCTCTTGGAGGTATGCTGGAAGTTACCCTGAACCATGTTCGGCCATCTTGAGCCATCTCGGAGGCCATCTTCGATTATCGCAAGTCCTCTTGGAGCTGTCTTGGGGCTCTTTGGGGGATCGTGGTGTCCTCTCGGGGCTCTTTGGGAAGGTCCTGGCCTGGGGTCCTCTCGGCGCCCTCTTGGGGGCCTCGTGGGGCTATCTCGGATGCTATCGATCAAGCAGGGGGGTGTCCTAGATGGTGTTCCTTGCTTGGGGGCATCAACATCGCCAACATGGGTCCAAAACTGTAGTACAATCTCGCTGGGACCATCTTGGACGCTCTTACGCCCTGCGAAACCTTCAAAATCCACAGGGAAGGGCTGGGGGAGGTAAACCTCCTGGCTGGAAAGGAAGAGGTTTTCGGAGGAGGAGAGACAGATCTCGCTGGACCACCTTAGCCCAAAAGAGCTCGCGGAATTGCGAGGACGTCTCCCACGCAACCGCGCCGAAACCAAGCCAAACCAGGAGCGGCACGCAAACCTCTCGCAGGGCATACGTAGCGTGTCGCCAGGGCCGCCGACGCGACACGCTAAGCAAAAGCTTCTGACTGTAATCGGCGATCGCTGTTCGATCCATACCTCTGCTTCTGCCCGCAGACTAGGCGCCAGGGGAAGCAGGGCATAGATTAAACAACGTTGCCTGTGAAGGCCACTATCCATAACCCCAGAGATCTGATGCGCATGTTTTGTTCAATACGGGGTCTTCAGAAGACCCGGGCCCTTCCCCAGGGCCAGCTTTTCATCCTGAGCAGTTGTCACTGCGGTCCCAGGGCCCGGCGAGGGCGACCTGGAGCCTGGAGCCCGAAAGCGCAGAACACATTCCGCCTCGATAGTTCCGATACAGTCGGGTCGCTGAAGAAGGAACCCTTTTCGTTGGGGAGGGGCTCCGTGTTCCCTGAGTGTTTCACAGCTTGCCTCAGGTTTCCCTTTTGTTTTCGATGGGGAATCGAAGCTTCACTCATGGAAAAACGGGGGCCTCGTTCCTTATCTAGGGTTCCTTAGGTCACCGCCTCGACTGTACGCTGGATCCTCCTCCTCCCCCTCCTCCCTCCTCCTCCTCCTCCTCTTTCTCCTCCTCCTCCGCCCTCCTCCTCCTCCTCCGCCCTCCTCCTCCTCCGCCCTCCTCCTCCTCCTCCTCCTCCTCCTCCGCCCTCCTCCGCCCTCCTCCTCCTCGCTGGATCTCCGGGCCCCCGCTCCGGCTCGCGGGGTCGGGGCACGAGCCGGGGCCGGCCGGGAGGGGCGCCGCGCCGAGCCCCGTGCAGGCCATGTACCCGGAAGAGTTGCGGCTGCGCGCCTGGCCTCCGCGGCTGGCGCTGGTGGTCGAGGGCTGGGAGGCGGAGGCGGGCCGGCGAGGGGCTCCTCCCCAAGCAGCCTCCAGGAGTCCCCCACCATGCCTCCTCCTCCATCCTCCTCCATCCTCTTCCTCCTCCTCCCTCCTCCTCCTCCTCCTCGTCCTCCTCCTCCTCCTCCTTCTTCTGCATCCTGCTCAATCCTCCCTCCTCCTCCTCCTTCTCCCCCATCCGCCTCAATCCGCCTCCATCCTCATCCATGCTCCTCGATCCTCATCAATCATTCCTCCTCCTCCTCATCCTCCTCCTCCTCCTCCTCCTCATCATCATCATCATCACCACCATCATCCTCATCCATCATCCTCTTCCTCCTCCTCTTCCTCTTCCATCCTCGTCCATCCTCCTCCATCCCGCTCCTCTTCCTCATCCTCCTCCTCCTCTTTCTCCTCCTCCTCCTTCTCCTATTCTTCTGTCTTCTCCTCCATCCTCCTCCTCTTGCTCCCCCGTCCTCCTCCATTCGCCTCCATGGTCATCAATCCTTTCTCCTCCTCCTGCTCCTCCTCCTGTTCCTGCTACTCCTCTTTCTCCTCCTCCTGCTTCTTCGCCTCCTCCTCCTCCTCCTCCATCCTCCTCCGTTCTCCCTGAATCCTCCCTCCTCCTCCTCCGCCTCCTCCTCCTCCTTCTCGACCACCATGCCCAGCCCGCAGTTCTGCGATGACTGGGACTACGACGGCATCAATAGTTTCGGCCCACAGTGCCTGCCGCTCGGCACGTCTGACGCGCCGACGCTGGTCTTTGGAGACGCTAGCGGGGGCCCCGACACGACAGACCCAAGGACACGGCGGGTTGCAGTGGGCATCGTGGTGATCAGCAAGTTCCAGCCGTTGGTCATAGATGCCTGTGGTGTGGGAGGCCTTGCTGGCACTCGTCAGACGGTTTCTCGTGGAGAACTTAAAGCATTGTGGCTGGCAGTGTTCACATCTCAAGGTTACGTTCGGTTCACGACGGATTGTAAGCCTGTGTATGAGGGTTGGTGTTTGGCCAAGTATTGTCACCCCAGCGGACCAGACGGAGACTTTTGGGCTCAGATCGGTTTACTTCTTCAGAACCGCAGCAGTTCAGATATCCAGGTTGATTTCATTCACTTGCATTTGACGGGCGAGCACATCGTTGGTAGGAAAGCAGAGTTGTGGCAGGTGCTGGGCAATACGGCCGTGGACGCACTAGTTGGTGAAGTTGCCCTGGAGATCCGAGTTCCAGCAGACGATAGGCGGCGGCTTCATGAGGTCGAGCGACAGGCATACCTTGTGCGTCATAGGCTGCTCCGTTCGACTCTCGACAGCTTCCAGGCGGGAGACGTGACGAGGAAGAAGGAGGCACCTCCTCCCCCTCCTCCTCCTCCCCCTCCTCCGTCTGTGAATGCTGTAGCCAATTTTGTCACCAGCCACTCCTTAGACGAGGGGGCCCTGCGGTGTCTTAGGTGTTTTGGAACTGCAACGCAGGCCACGGCCCTGCAATGGAAAGCGAGCCAGTGTTTCAGTCCCCTGGTTTTGAATGGGCGGTATAACACAAAACATGTTTGTGTTAAACTTCATTCAGCGGGGGGCTGGGTCCACTATAGCCACATCACGAATTTGTCGGTAACTCAGAATCTGTGGTTTTGCAAGGTCTGTGGCTCCTTCTCCAGCAAGCGAGCGAGCGAGCTTCACAAGCCGTGTCGACGTCAGGCCACAGACACTGGGGTGGAGTATTTGAACCGAATTGACCGAGGTTTGTGGCCGAAGGTCTTCAGCAGAGCTGAGAAGGCCGCTCGTCAAGGGTCAGCGCGGTCGTCCCCCCAGGTGTAAGGCCGTTTTCCTCTCACTTAGTGAACGGACATTCCCATTCCCATTCTCCTCCTCCTCCTCCCCCTCGCGGCCAGAGTCCAGCATGGCATGAGGGTGCAAACCCGACTTGTCTGGCTGATGCTCCGGGGGGCCTGTGCTCAGGGGAGGTTGCAGCACCGCTCAACGATGTGCTGTTTAACCGAACCTGCAGGGTGGGCCCTTTCCCAAATCCGTGCTTCGGTGCGGATCGTAAGCGCGCCTCGTCTCCGTCGTCCTCGTCGTCGGCGTCGTCGTGGTCGTGGTGCGTGTTGCTCTGCTCGGGGTTCTGTTTCCCTTATGCAGTGACCACCCAGTTGGCTTGCCAGGCATTGCGCGCCGCCTGGCTGTCCGTCCGTCCGTCTGTCTGTCTGTCTTCCCTGCTCTCTGAGCCGCGGCGCTTTGAGCTTCTTAGCTCGGGACGCGTCGGCCACCGCCGCCCTCTCCCTTGTCGGTGGCCCTGGCGAGGTTGGGGGAGAAGGTGCCGAAACGCGCCCAGAGTCCAGCAAGGCATGAGGGTGCAAACCCGACTTGTCTGGCTGATGCACTGGGGGGGCCTGTGCTCAGGGGAGGCTGCAACACCGCTCAACGATGTGCTGTTGTTTTCCGAACCTGCAGGGTGGGCCCTTTCCCAAATCCGTGCTTCGGTGCGGATCGTAAGCGCGCCTCGTCTCCGTCGTCGGCGTCGTCGGCGTCGTCGTGGTCGTGGTGCGTGTTGCTCTGCTCGGGATTCTGTTTCCCTTATGCAGTGACCACCCAGTTGGTTTGCCAGGCATTGCGCGCCGCCTGGCTGTCCGTCCGTCCGTCTGTCTGTCTGTCTTCCCGGCTCTCTGAGCCGCGGCGCTTTGAGCTTCTTAGCTCGGGGACGCGTCGGCCACCGCCGCCCTCTCCCTTGTCGGTGGCCCTGACGAGGTTGGGGGAGAGGGTGCCGAAACGCGCCCAGAGTCCAGCAAGGCATGAGGGTGCAAACCCGACTTGTCTGGCTGATGCTCTGGGGGGGCCTGTGTTCAGGGGAGGCTGCAGCACCGCTCAACGATGTGCTGTTGTTTTCCGAACCTGCAGGGTGGGCCCTTTCCCAAATCCGTGCTTCGGTGCGGATCGTAAGCGCGCCTCGTCTCCGTCGTCGTCGTCGTCGGCGTCGTCGTGGTCGTGGTGCGTGTTGCTCTGCTCGGGATTCTGTTTCCCTTATGCAGTGACCACCCACTTGGCTTGCCAGGCATTGCACGCCGCCTGGCTGTCCGTCCGTCCGTCTGTCTGTCTCTGTCTTCCCGGCTCTCTGAGCCGCGGCGCTTTGAGCTTCTTAGCTCGGGGACGCGTCGGCCACCGCCGCCCTCTCCCTTGTCGGTGGCCCTGACGAGGTTGGGGGAGAGGGTGCCGAAACGCACCCAGAGTCCAGCAAGGCATGGGTGCAAACCCGACTTGTCTGGCTGATGCTCTGGGGGGGCCTGTGCTCAGGGGAGGCTGCAGCACCGCTCAACGATGTGTTGTTTAATCGAACCTGCAGGGTGGGCCCTTTCCCAAATCCGTGCTTCGGTGCGGATCGTAAGCGCGCCTCGTCTCCGTCGTCGTCGTCGTCGTCGGCGTCGTCGTGGTCGTGGTGCGTGTTGCTCTGCTCGGGATTCTGTTTCCCTTATGCAGTGACCACCACCACCTCCTCCTCCTCGGCGGGAGGCGAGGACGAACGACGACGATGAAGGATGACGAACGGCGAAAGTACAGGGGGCCGTGCTCCAGAACGCGCCTCCCCTACCCTTCCCTCCTCCTCACTCCTCACTCCTCACTCCTCACTCCTCACTCCTCCTCCTTCCTCCTCCATCCCCCTCCCCCTCCTCCTCCTCCTCCTCCGCCTCCTCCTCCTCCTCTTTCTCGTTTTCCCCCTCCGTCTCGTGCTTCTCTGCCTCCTCCTCCTCATCCTCCTCCTCCTCCTCCTCCTCCTGCTTCCTTCTCTCATCCTCCGCCTCCTCCCGATCCCCCTTTTCCTCCTCCTCCTCCTCTTCCTTCTCCTCCCTCCTCCTCCCTCCTCCTCCTCCTCCTCCTCCAGCTGGCGCATCAGGCGCAAGGTTTGTGGGTCAGCTGGCGAGAGGAGCCAACATTTCTCAGGGTGTCGGAGCCCCAACCCCGAGGGACGCGGCACTGGCGCCGCGAGGGATGGAGATGCGATGTAAATGAGTTACATCGCGATGCTGACCAGCGAGGTATTCATGATAACGTTATGATTGGTGGGTATAGTGCAGTACAATCCTCAACATGCGTGGGGAAAACGATGCGAAGATATAAGTAGAGAGTTACAGAAGTGGCAGATGATTACACTGAAGGAGACAAAACGACGGGCTGAATGGGAACATCTAGATACGATACAGCATACATCTCAACAGTGGGCGATACATTGGTGCTGGAAACAAAATGGAAGGGTGAACAACAGTGGTGGAACCAGTTCCCTGATTTCAAATGACGTACAACGGATGGGGCTACATCGGGTACATCACTTACTAGGACTACGAGGGCGCGTTGCAGCTCACAGGCAGAAACAAAACAGGATGGACACATTGCTAATCGGCACCTACGATGCACCGAGGGGCAGAAAGAGCATAGAGGAGCTAGCGACGATAAATTCTTCAATGGTTGAGTATATTCTGGACAAGCAGGGCTGGATCACTACAAGCACTGGGTGTACGGACTGTAATTCAGGTTATCAATTGCAAAGAGGACCGACGGACACTATTGAGTTCACTACAGGAAGCGCGATCAGCTGTCAAACCAAAAAGCTAGAGAACAGAAGCAGCAAGGCCATTCGACGCACATTTCATAGTACACATTTACGAATACAGACTATACATATGCCTGCGTTTGGACCCGCGTATTTCGGCGAGAAGAAAAATTAGCATCGACGATATTATTTTCCAGACAGGGCCGCAAGAGCGGACCGAAAACCTGTTGCCGGACGACGGCGACAACGCATCCGCCGCCGTGAAAGGCGAGACTACATTCCAGTAGCGCTGGTGATCGACGAGAACACGGACTTACGAGGGCGACGCTGGTTAACGAGAGTGAAACGAGATGTTCGTATGAAGTGTTTGCGTAAAGGAGTGGATCGGAAACAACTATTTCGAGAGATCAAAGAATTGCAGAAAGAGATAAAAGAAGAGACCTGACAGCGAGTTAATTTAACACACGCGCCTAAAGAGATGT